TTAAATTGAATTATATATAAAATTAAAATTACAATTTTTTAAAACTTTTGAGAACCAAAGCCAGAAGAAAATGTAAGAGCAACTTAAAAATTCATATTACACTGACTGAGTTTCTTGGTATTCAGAAATTTCTTATTTTAGCTATGTAAATGATGAGTAGAAAAGTGAGATCATTGGAAGTATTGAACTAGTTTAATTATCTTATACCCACCACAAGTCCTGGTAGAACCTACTTGGAATTCATACTATGTAGAGCTAAAATGACTCTTCCAATTTCAAGAAACCATTAGAAAAAGAAGGAGAAAGAAATAAAAATTTCTACAAGATATCTTCAGCTTGGTTTTGAGAGCAAAAACTGACATGATTCTGTGGAGCCTGCAACAGTACGCTGCAGCAGGGCCTTTGTACCAAAGGTCATGGCTCTAAACGTTCCTGTGTAAGCACATGGATTTCTCACCTTAGCAAAAACTTCTCTTCCAAAGAAGAACTGGATTCTGTTTGGCTATCTCTGTAGTCACAAATCTAAAAAAGCCAATGGTCTTCCTCTTACATTTAGAAATAGAGAATTCCCTGTTAAGAGCGGTCAATCAGTAGTCTCCTCTGTTATCGCAGAGTCTTTATCACAGAGAACTAAAATGCTTTTATTCTCACTCTTTTTAAAGTACCTGTAATGTTGTAGCATTCTGAAATAGAAGAGTACTAAGTCCAATTGCAGGTAAGCCAGTCCAACCATTTAACATCACTCCCATCATTCATTGTCTTCCAGGCCCAAGGTTACATGATAACAACAGAAGTGTAAGAGGCTATCCCCCTCTGTAGCACATTCATTTGAACCTAACAAAACCAGATTGATTTCAAATTGATGCTTCATAACTAGCCAGTTGTATCAAGCACTATGAAGTTCTACCAGTAGTTATTAATGGTTTGCTAGTTAGAGTTTCCATCCTGACTACCATCAGTGGTCCAACTTGGCCTCCAATCGGGAGACTTGGAGACACACCATACATAATGCCATTGTCTCCTCTGAGAACACACGCAGAACTAGTCTCGCGCCCCGCCTATACCACCCAAGGAGACTTTTTGTTGTGCTTTTTGCAACCAGATTTGCCTATCCCACATTGGCCTTTTTAGTCATCAGCGCGTTTGTAGTAAGTGTGGGTAAAGCCCTTCTCAAATCTTCGTTCATGAAGTCAAGCCATGATGATGATGATAAGTTGAGTTTCAGAGACATATGATATTGGGTTTGGGATTTTTTTATTTTTGCCTTCACTGGTGAACACTTACCCTATTAAGACTATGTCTCCTCCCTCAGATGGATTTCTAAGAGCTATCAGAGACACTACCTAGGTAAGAAAGCACAGACTATTGGTGTTCTAGAAAGGTTCACCTTCTTGGAAGATGGTGATGATTCCTGGCTCTAAAGACTGAATTTGCACTTCTAGGATCAAGTATATATTTACTGTTCTAATAAGAAACACTTAATTTTCTCTCTGCCAGAGCACAGGAGTTTCTGCAACACTGGTTCCTGATGAGAAACACTTCCCTATAGCTACAGACATATCAGCAGGTTCCTAGTGGAGAAAATTAAATGGATCTAATTTTAAAAGGCTGTGATGACAATGTGCAATTTCTAAACTTTAATTCCCCACCCCCAAGTTGCTTTTTTACCCTTGCATGAACTCAGATCAAGTTCATCAGTTTTTCAAATGCCTTCTTCTCAACAGAAAGCTGTCCCTTTCAAATAAAACTTATTGGATTTCCCAGGTTCTGGTTTTCCTCTATTTATTTATACCCTCAAATAGAAGCTGGAACAAGGATGAGATTTCCCACTGTGAGTGAATCTAGGAAAAAAAAGAAAACTCCCTAGCTATCTAGAGCATTGGTTGTTACAGACTTAGATTTTGATTTTAAGAAAGTCTTACAAAGTCCACTCATTTTCATCTCTCTTCAGGCTATTCTATGGAAGTACCCTCAGATTAATCAGAAAAATAAGTGTCCAAATATTGAGGAAAAACAGCAGAAGAACATTTGCTGCATTTCCAAATTCTTGGGGGGTATTTGTTTCTGCTGAGATTTGAGCTTCACTTTGTAACTACCTTCTTCTATGGATGACCTTAAATCTTTTACCATTTCGTATGAAGTTTTAGTTGAAAGTTTACAGGGAACAGCATCCAAACTGAACCTCCTTGATCTAAGATCTAGTTGGTAAGCAGGCCAAATCTTCTTCCAGGTACATCAAGATCAAAATAAACATGATTAGCATATCCCAAAATCCATTTTATTAAGGCAAGCCTTAAGTATTTAGCATGTAAATTTTTCCAGGGCCCTTGATGGAACATTACCATCAACACCAACCACTGAAAGCAAAGCAATAACAGATGCAGTAGCATCTCCAAGGTGACTTCAGGTTTCCATTTCTATAAGGTAATTAATCCTCACTTTGTGTGTGTGTTCTATTATCTTTCCTCCTTTACTACCTACAGTTACATGGTAAAACAACTGGGAGTTTTAGCCCTCTCATATTATTAACAGTAGAGGAATGCACAAATTTAAAAGCACACATCCTTTAAAACGTTTATTCATGGTCATTTCTTACATTCCTACTGTGTTAATTTAGCACTGAGAAGCAAATTCAGTGGGTTTGATTAAGAGCTTTTTCTACACCTTTAATCTACTTAATACCAATCAGGAGATGTGAAAAATGTTCTTTAAAAATTAAAACTCCTTAGATCCATGTTGTGGATGGTAACTATGTAATTAAAAGGAACAAATTTAAAATCTGACAACAATTGGTGCATCTCCAGCATTTAAAATGATTCAATTATTAATAATTCATGCTCAAAACCCCATATGTGGGCAATGAAGCAGGAGAGATGAAAACGAAGTCTGATCCATGACTAACCTTACATCTGTACAGAGCCTGACTAAACAGAGTTACAGCAGCATGTTTTCTACAACATTTACCCAAATACAGTAAGAAACTGTCACGCGATATGTATTTGCAGTGACACTCAACAGTTAGCATTTCTAATATACAAGAATCCAGATATGCATATAGTTCCATATGAAGTCAAATTGAATCAGAGTACGGAGTGGGCTAGATGCTTCAAAGATTTTAATTACATATGAGTTAAAGCCAAATTTGCTTTAAAAATATCAGAGTATCCAGTCCAACCATTATGATTTTGGGGCTGGTTCAAGCAAAAAGTCAGGAAGGTTCTCTCTAGTATTGTATGGTCAAACTTTTAATGACAGTCATTCTTCTGAGATGCTAGGCTACATTTAGAATACTAATTAGATGACTCATGTTGTCTTTTAGCTCACTTAGCCCATCCAGCAATGTATTCTGAATGTTATTAGATCTGCTCCCATGAATTTAGTCTGAACTAGAAATTTACACAAGCAACTCACCACACCATACATGTCTCTGTATCAATTCAGCCCAAAATTCAAACCTCGTGAGAGTTCATCTGTTAACATACAACAATTACTTAATCCTAGATCTAGGTTTTTACTTCTTCCTCCCCCCCTTTTTTGTTTTTTTTTTTATTACCTTTTTTCTTCTTTTAATGTCAGCTTTCCTTTCATAGCTGGCATATTTGCTACTGCAATAAGCTGCATACAAAAACAACGGCAATGACATGTCTGAGTTAGCTGCAAAGCCATTTTTCAAGCCCAAGCCAATGAAGTTGCACATCATTTGCTAATGTCCTCAAGACAAGAAGCTCCAAGAGAAGACTGAGGGACACAGAAGAGGTAGAATTGCTAACTCATAATAACAACTATAATGATTTGTAATACTACCATATTACTGCAGGTACCTGTCAGAAGAGAAGGTGTAGTCTAGGAGACCTCCCAGTATAGAAATAAGCACACAATATTCTTAGAAATACAACATCCTAAAAGGCATACGGAAGGGTAAGGCTAGAGCATACCCATAATTTTACCACTAAAACACAGAATCATAGAATAGTTAGGGTTGGAAAGCACTTCAAGATCATCTAGTTCCAATGTGCATTAAAAGATATTACGTTAGTGTTTTAAACATGCTCAACAATTTAAAAAAAGAGTGTCATAAATAGTTTTGTTTACTCCTACAACCTTTTTGATGTCCTGGTTCCAATCACTGTTCCATATGTGGAGGGATGAGAGAAGAGACATGTTTATTCTGTGGCTGATTTATTACAAAATCAAGACCATTCAGCACCTAATTCCACCCCTCCTTAAATACATTGTTGCTGTTCTCTCTTGCACAATTTACCACCACATGTAAAGGTCATGTCCACTGGTAAAGTAATTCATATGGTTATCCAAATCCTATCCAAGCTATAAATTAATGTGACATAAACTGCCTGCAGCATTTCTTCTATTTCTAGTGTTATACACAGGCAAGTCTAGCCTGGTGTAGTGATAATTAAAGTAAAAACTGCATACATCTCCCCCAAGAACACACGCCAAACAGGAAACCAATTAGTTCCAGGATGATACCTGCTGAGGGAGACACAGCAATGATCTCTAGCAAATGCTGACTTTGGGCTTTCAATGTAAAATGTAAGTACACTTTACTTCACGATTGCCCCCTGTATCACAATCACAGAGAGAGAAGTGCCAAAGGAGGGAAAAAAATATACAAAATTTCATCAGAATCCTGATGTTCCTGATTTTACATAAAGCAACCAGAAAAGCTGCAGGCTGGTCTCCTAATGCTCTGAAAATTAAGATTTGCATAAAACACAGGCAAACATACTGTTTTCCAGAACATGCTGTTTTCTTAAACATCTGTTAAATTTCTTAAAAAGCCTGTGGTGGAACATGATGCATGCTCTGCAAATGGGCTTTACTTTTTGCAGCCAGAATGAGCTTATTTATTTTGAAACCACAGACTGATCAATGTTGTCCTCAAGAATAGTCGAAGGAGATTAAACCTTATTGGATATTTTTCTTTTGTGATATAGCTTTGATTAGTAAACTAATACCATAAATGAACTGGAACAATTCACCCTGCAGACTGCACTGGAAATGTGTTAATACACACTTGCTGAAGATTCAACCCACAGCAAAGTAGTCTCCTCAGAAACTGCTCCAGATGGTCTGAAATACAATGGAAACAGTCACTGAGAAAACCTAGCTTCATAGAGGTGCTGGGAAAGGTGGTGAAAGATGAGGACTTTGCCCCAAAAATTAACTGTCTGAAGAGGGACTGCTCAAGTGTGTTACACTGTACAAGTAGTTTCAGGAGCCCAAGGTAGACCTGGAAAGAAGAATCTATACTAAAGAAGCTAAAAGAAATTTCAGAGCCTGAGATTTGTCATCTATCCCCAAATTATTATTTCCTTCACTGGGACTCTGCAGATTAAATAGCATCCTCAGTGCAATTTAACATGTGAGAACATAGTTTACCCAATGTGGCTCAAACTCTGCTCTAAGCCTGAACATTTACAACACCTGCTAACAGTCGCCTGTTCTCACACACTTTTAGAACATCTTTCATTTTTGATTTGCATTACAAACAGCTACTTTCTGCTGTCCTCTCTCTCCTCCAAAGTCTTTCATAAAACCTGTCGACTGATTTATTCAAGCACTTATCTTTTAACTTGCTGTCACTAGACAGGTGCACACTTGCAACAGCTCTTGTAGCTGAGCCCATTTAACAGCTCTTGTAGGGGCCCATCCTTGCAAGACATTGAGCTGTACAGAAGTTAGTGCCCTAAATACACATTGAAAGCAATGATTTAGGGCTCTCTGTCTCACAGGCAGCACTCAGTGCCTTAGGCATCAGTTTCTTCCCTGTTAAGAAGATTGTAAAAGGACCATCCCATCTAACTATTTAATGTTATTTTAATAGGCTACATTACATGAACTTGATACAGTAGTGGTTATCCAAGTCTAAAGCTCCATTTGCTCCAAAGACTTCAATCACAGAAGTAGGTAAAATTAAATCCATATAACCCAACAGGTAAGAGAGTTGGACACCGTCAGTGTCCAGGCCAGGGTGATCTTGTTTGCATATTCCAAATTCACTTGACCACACCTGCACTCAGATTTTTTTTTATTGACATTTTACTGTCAAGAGACTGGAGATGAAGGGAGAATAAAAATGAAGAGCAAATTCAGAGGGAAATTTATTTATTTATTTCAAGTCACCAAGACAGTAAAGAAAATCCTACAGTTAATTCACATAAAGGAAGAAGGTTGCAGAACAGTTCTCTGGCTGCCACTCTACACTACTCTATCACAGGCTGGCCTTTTATAGGAGATGAATTTTGACACTCTGGGGTAGCAGGTAGGACAATAGCCATAGATTACGCAGCCACATACAAACTTCATTACTTAGGATATAGCAGAAGCTAATAAAGATGTGTTCACAGAGATCAGTCCAGCCGCAGGTGAATCATAGAAGATCTCAGATATATCTACACACAGTCCCTCTTCTGTGCAAAAACCAAGTGCATTGCAAAGAAGAAAACACCTTAATAGAATATGGAAGGAAAGTTTAAGCAGTTTCAGTCCATCTCCAGGGTGCCTTCAGATAGTTCTCCTACTGAAAATTATCCAGATCTCTGCATGTGAACTCTGTGCTAATGCTTTTTGGGAGATGACAGAAGTCTTTATGAGAAGGAAACTGAATGCAGTCTCAATAGTTTCAAAGACAGAAGATTATGTTGTGAGCTTTATAATGCTTCCTTCAAATTCCAGCCCAATATCATACAGCTGAATGTATGTCCTACATGTACAGCCCAACAACTTGGTTAAAATATCCAGGCTAAATTAAAAATCTTTATGTAGTGAAACATTTACTATAATTTTCAGGAGAAGTTACAAGATCACACCCAAACATACACAATGCACACAGCATAACCAACATTATGGGTAAAATTAACCATTAGCTCCTGTAATGTAAATTCTGTTGAATTCAAACAGCAAGACTGTCTGCATAAAACCTGAAATCCTGAAGTATTATGAAACCTCAATAAAGCTTGTGAGTATAATTTTTTAAACCTAAAACATTAAGTCTAATCACATCAAAACAAAACAAAACAAAGGATTCAAGTAACTTGAGTGGGAAGAAATTCAAACCAGCAATAAGTTCTTTTTTTTTTTTCATTCATGTGGAATCACAACTACCTTCTCACTTTTTTATTTCTTGACTGATATATCAGAAAAACATCTGCTCATCTAGTTAGGCTGCTATTAAACATCTAATGCCCTCTATAATGTGTGTTGAAATGCCTTGTTTTCAAGCATTCTCATAACTTAGAGCATATTAGATGCTTCACTTTTGGGTCTTATTCAGCAGGATGTAGTCATACCTCAAGCAAGGATACTTTTTTTAAAAGAAAACCATAAGCAACCAATTCTACCTCTTGCTATGAGCCACGAAGCCGTCAGCAGATGATTCTGAGTTAGAACTAACAGACAACCCTCTCTGTGGAAGACCATCAGGTAGTTCTGTGGCTGAGTGCGTTTATGTTTTACGCATGGTGTATGTGTTTGAACCTGCTAGCAGGCCAGACAAGGGGCAGCTCTGGGCTTATTATCCAGCTGCTTTTCAAGGCCTCAGGTTCAGAATGTGCCATCAAGCTTTGGTCAAATCAGACTGTACTGGCACACACCACGGTCAGCTTTGGGAAACAGCTGAGTACCCAGGGTAAGGTAATTTTTCAGGCGTCCTAAGGACTAGCACTTTTGAATGGAGGGGACCATGAGGTTTGACGTCTTTGTTGCTTGCTTCAGGGCTGAAAGGAGGTTCCCAACCCCGTCATTTCATTTATGGATAATGACACCCAGCATTTAGGACCAGATGTTTTTAAACATATCCTATGCTGAAAAGATGAAGGCTATTAATTTAATGAGACTCAAACCTCACATAAATCCTGCAACGACAAGCATGATGGAAACTAGCTTCTTATAAGTGACCAGATATATCAGTGCCATGCCACAGGAGGTTAGCTATATCAAAGGCCGAAACACACAGGAATAACAACTACCTGGACTAGCCGCAAAGAAATCCACAGCAGATTGTGCCGTGTGATGATTTCATTCCATCATTCTGAGGATTAAGTGAGGACAGGCCTCTGAACCAGACCTGAGGCCCCAGTCATGGCCTGCAGGGAGGGTGGCCTGGCTACCAGTGGGGTTTCCCTTCCTCCAGGGAGCATGTATGCCCTGGTCCCAAGGAAGCTTTTTCACAACAGATGCCTTACTGCAAAACTATATAGGATTCATCCAAAATCTGGAAATTCCCTGTCAGAGGGAGGGGCTGCTTTAGGCCAGAGCAAGAAGCTGGGGGCTGCTTCTACGTCAGGGCCAAGCCACAGCAGTGCCCACAGATGCCCATTCCTGCCCCACAAGTGCCTTCCATCCCCTTCCTTTCCTCCTCACAGCATTGCCACAAAACTGGATTTATTTCAGCTTGCTATTTAAGGAACAGAGTTTCAAGAAGAGGGGCTCTTGTTCAGTCATTTCCTCAGAGCAGGGCTTCCTCTCTTCCTAGCCTTGATTGACATTGGATCTGTTTCAGACCATACAGAGTGAAACCTATGAGCCTCCAGCCTCAGGGCCAGATTTATAGGCAGAAAGAGAATTCTGTGATCTTTTTCCATGTATTTGTTGTTACAGTTGAAATAGGCCTCTTATTCTCAATCTGGAGACACTTTTATTGTTCACCTTTTCTCGTATGTCCTTAGGCACAAGGAGTCACAGCAGAGTAAGCCAGGCCCAGGACTCAGTGCAAAGTATCACTCACACTGTGAAAGCTTTCTCTTCTCTGGATTCCCACAGTAAGGACAGACAGAAGTATCTTCATTGGTATAAATCAGTCAGGCACCAACAGCTAAAGAGTTGTATCAGCTTTTTTTATAACCCAGTTTTAGTAAGTGTTTCAGAAAAAAAAAAAAAACACAGTTTTAAAAATTTCCCACATCAAACAAAAGATAAAACACAGGTAGACAATAAATCTTCTAGAAAAAGTCACAAATTCACCAGCACATAACTCCTACCCGTTACAGTGATTTCCTTTATTTTAAATGGATTTCAAATTCAACAAGACACACAGTAAAGCTGTCCTTGCTCTTTGGTAAGATACTTTCCATTTGGTTAATTACCTTTACTGCTCCTGAATATGGGGAGATTTTGTTGTTCTGTATTACTTCAAGAAGTTGGATCTCACTCTGGCCAGCTACCATGCAAGACACTTTTTCATCTTGAAAACACAAGTGAACATTTACTAGCCAAAAAGCTATGACAGTCACAATTTACTAACAGTAACTAGGCTGAAATAACAATGATGCAAACAAATCCTTTTTACTCTGCACTGGAAAGGGTTAAGGATGCTCAAATCATAGAATCATAGAATAGTTAGGGTTGGAAAGGACCTTAAGATCATCTAGTTCCAATCCCCCTGCCATGGGCAGGAACACCTCACACTAAACCATGTCACCCAAAGCTCTGTCCAACCTGGCCTTGAACACTGCCAGGGATGGAGCATTCACAACATCCTCGGGCAACCCATTGCACTGCCTCACCACCCTTACAGTAATGAATTTCTTCCTCATATCCAATCTAAACTTCCCCTGTTTAAGTTTTAACCTGTTACCCCTTGTCCTATCACTACAGCCCCTAAAGGATAGTCCCTCCCCAGAATCCTTATAGGCCCCCTTCAGATACTGGAAGGCTGCTATGAGGTCTCCACGCAGCCTTCTCTTCTCCAGGCTCAACAGCCCCAACTTCCTCAGCCTGTCTTCATATGGGAGGTGCTCCAGTCCCCTGATCATCCTCGTGGCCCTCCTCTGGAATTGGTCCAACAGCTCCATGTCCTTTTTATGTTGAGGACACCAGAACTGCACACAATACTCCAAGTGAGGTCTCACAAGAGCAGAGTAGAGGGGCAGGATCACCTCCTTCAACCTGCTGGTCACACTCGTTTTGAGGCAGCCCAGGATACAGTTGGCTTTCTGGGCTGCGAGTGCACGCTGCCGGCTCATGCTAAGTTTCTCATTGACCAACACCCCCAAGTCCTTCTCCACAGGGCTCCTCTGAATCTCTTCTTTGCCCAACCTGTAGCTGTGCCTGGGATTGCTCTGACCCAGGTGTAGGACCTTGCACTTGGCATGGTTAAACTTCATAAGGTTGGCATCTGCCCACCTCACAAGCACATCGAGGTCCCTCTGGATGGCATTCCTTCCCTCCAGCGTATCAACCGAACCACACAGCTTGGTGTCATCGGCAAACTTGCTGAGGACACACTCAATCCCACTGTCCATGTCAGTGACAAAGATGTTGAACAAGACTGGTCCCAACGCTGATCCCTGATGGACACCACTTATTACCGGTCTCCAGCTGCACATTGAGCCACTGACCACAACTCTTTGCGTGCGGTCAGTCAGCCAGTTCTTTATCCACCAAGTGGTCCACCTATCAGATTGATGTCTCTCCAATTTAGAGACAAGGATGTAATAGAAAGTTACAGCTCTGCTGAGGGGTACTAGCTGCTTAAACTGTGATGGCAGATAGCTGTTTCACAACTGAATATTTACTATATCTAAATTTTCCCTTTGAAGATACTTTTGTGATTAATTTGCTTTTTATCCAACTGTTAAACAAATTAACATTATTATGAGGTACGGAAGAACAAGGTTCATTATATTTCAAGCCTTCTGAAAACAAGTATCAGAAGGGTAAAGATGTGGGAGTGAGTTTCCTTGACTATTTAGTGTTCTTTTAACCTTAGCTCTATTACGTCAGATCAGAAAAAGAATTAATTACTTTCACAACAAGACTATTTATTGTTTGCAAGACACAAATTTAGAACTGTGGGAGATTTTAAAACTAGAGTTGTATTGAAGGGAAAAATCAAAACAAAAATATTATCTTCAGAAAGGGGGCAGAAAGAAATAAATTGAGACAGTTTCATGAAAAGAGAATGGCAGAGTGAAGTAACCCCTCTATGAATCTTCCCCACTCTCAAGAGCTAGTTCTGTTCCAAGTGAAACCTCTAGGTGTGACAATATTGCTTCCATTGAAATAAAAGGAAAAATTCCAAATGCCACCACCTGGGATGGAACTTGGTCCTGAGAAAATTCTTTAGCCTCAGCTAAATAAGTACGGTCTAGATCCTACTCAGCCAATAGCACTTTGCCCTTCAGTTCCTACGCACCTCAGAACAGGTTCCTGCTTTAGATTCTTTCACTGCCATTTTCCCTGCTCTGGCCTCCTGAGAATTTTTCATTTTGAGACCATTAAGAGCACGAATACGTTCGAAGATTTTTTTTTTTTTTTTAAGAGGCAAAGTAGTCTTTTCAAAACAGGGAGGAAAAAAAAACAGGTGGAGAGAGGACAATAAAAAAAAGTCCTTCCTTTTTTTAAAGAATGTATCCCTGCTCTGCGTGGTAAAGGAGAGAGCTAAGCTGGCTTTACTAATTTGTCCAAAGTGCTTGAAGATCCTCCAATGGGTTTTTACAAGAAACCAAGTGATACTACTGCATTATTTTGCTCTGCTTCACTTAGCAGACTTTATGACAAGATTCTCAGGGAGCTCTTGCGGAGTGCAAAAAGGTAACTTTAACTGAGCTGTCTGAGAGCCTGACATTAACTTTTCCAAACAGGCTTTGCTTTATGTTCAGGGCAGGGGTTTATTAATTGGTTGAATGAATCAGCCAGCACACTGAGGTATTACAAATACAATCACTTATCTCTTTACATTCAGTCTGGACATCTAAGTGCCTTAACTTCCATGCTTTTACCTCCAGCAGCTTAAAAGGGGACTAGCCTGCATTGCTGAGCTTGTTTTTCTCCCTGAAGCCTGCAAGCCACATCATGCCAGAATGTGGAACTCCTCTTAGATATCAAAACTTTCAGACAGCTAAGTTCCTAAAGCAAACACTACCAAAGAATATGATGGCCCACACACCTTTAGGGCACTTATATTACAGACATCAGTACTTGTCAGAAAGGTTTAAGATGGGATAAAATAAACAGGTATAGAGTTATTGTCCGTAATTATCCTATGTATTTTCCCCTTTTCCATCCCCTGTGGCTTTTTTTTTTTTTTTTTAACACAGAACCAGAAAAACATGAACTATCAGTAAGTCTAAGATCACAGTTGGACAAAATCATCACAGCAAGCCTCACATCAGAGCCAACTGGGGCTTGCATGGAGACCACCCACCACAAAAACCTGCAGACCTCACCAGTGCAAACTAGACCAGTCCCTGGTTTCCTGGAAAGTTCATGAACGGAAATAGTTTCAAAGCCTAACTTAGGCAGACTACCTTGTACAGACACTGGTATCACCTCCCTACATTAGCCATTATGGAGTTATGACCCAGCCATCCCTGAATGGCACATACTACAGTACAATCTCCACAGAAGGTCCTGTGGAGCCTGAATACTGCCCACAGTGATTCTGAGAGTATCAGACAGGTCTCCCAACACACAGACAGAAAATCAGATATTTCTACTCCTAGGCAATGGGAACATTTAATTTCAACAAATTTCATCATTCTGCACAGTAAGTACCAGAACCCTCTTTTTCTTTTTGGATTTCTCAAGGAAGACAGCTATAAATATTGGATACAATCACTATCTTGTCACCTCCTTATCTTTTTTCTCATCAGTTCCATTCCATTACTTCATTTCAATGCCTAATATAGAATATAAGGAGAACGTAATGACAAGAAATACCATATATATTAACAGATAAATAAGCCTCACAAAGCCAGTCTCCTATGAACACTGTTGCAAATGCTAGCTACACAAACAAGTTGGACAGCTGTACCTGAAACCCTAATAAATCCATTTAAAATAATGTAATGTTTGGATCATTTTTTTCAAGCAGAGTCCTTAATCACTGTACAACTTTATTATTCATTAATGTGCGCCGGGTATGTGCAAAATAATTATTCTTCAGGTCTTGGATTTATGCACTGGATACAATAAGTAAAAAAAAAGAAAAAAGAAAACATACAAGTGTGAATTGTTCCACTGCTCAATTCAAATTCCTGGAAATATTGAGTGAGAATGATTTTGTAATTTGGGATTACTTTCTGATGAGTCCCACAGTGACTTTGCCTGATTGTAGCACACTCCAAACCAATGCAAATAGAAAAGAGTATCGGAACACTTTTATATAATATAGTATTTTTGTTGTAAAATAGAATCCTGGTGAATTTTACATCTCTATTGTTCTTACACATGCTCCAATATATATACATCATACACTCAGA